ATGTAGTGAGTTCCAGGACAGCTGGGAGTGAAAGATTTATCGTCCTCTTTTTTTTTTTTTTTTTTTTTTTAAAAAAAAAAAAAAAAAAAAAAAAAAAAAAATGTGTCCAAGAACGCAAACTCAGTACTGGTGGGGTTAAGCATTGACTCACTTCAAATCCTGCACCTTTCTGTTGGGCCACACTTCCCTCTGACCCTCTCTGCCACCTCCCAGGTACTGTGACAGAAAGATAAAAAGTAACTATACCACAGTAGACATGGAGTTTGCTTTTGACAGAACGGCATCTGTGAGGATAGGTGGGAATTGACAATTCATATCAGCTATCTCCTGTTGGTAAATGTTGGCCACATGAGCCCATCCCAGGTGCTTTGTCAAATTCCCAACCGATACTCACATGTGAACTTTAAACCCAACTGCCTCAAGTCACAGTCTGGCACCTGTTCAGGCTTGCCCTCTCATCCTTGTTAAATGCTCTGGATTTTACACAGCACCGTTCCCCAAATGAGCCTACCCATTCAAGAAAAGCTTACTGAAACCTGCTGTGTGCTAAGCCTTGTTTGATAGAGCCTTGTTTGATAGTTCTCTTTTCCTCTCTGTCTTTGCTGGTGACCAAATCCAGGACCTCATGCATACCAGGCAAGCATTCTGCCATTAAGTTACCTCTCACCCACCCCTTTTTTGGGGTGGTAGGTAGGGAAGACTCTGCCTGGGGGTCAAACCTAGAGCCTTGCACATGCTCCGTAAGTACTCTACCACTCTAGTCTGGTTTCTGTCTTTAGAAGTGGATAGGAATTTTTAAAATTGTGCTTGTTGCAATGATCTTTTTTATAATTTATTTTTATTTTTAATGTTGGGTATGTGTGCTTGCACCCGCAGGTACCAGGAGAATCCAGAGGTGTCAGATTCAGAGTCAGAGTTATGGGTGTTTGAGAGCCATCTGATGTGGCTACTGGGAATATACTTGTGTCTTCCAGAAGAGAGTAGTAAATGCTCTTAACCACCAAGCCATCTCTCCATGCCATAATATTTTTTAAAACATTTACCAGGCAGGCAAGATGATGCAGTGGGTAAAGATGCTTGCTGCAAGTCTAATAATCTGATTTAGGTCCCTAAAACCCACCTGATAGAAGGAGAAAACTGACTCTCACAAGTTGTCCTCTGATCTCCATGTGTGCCATGGCATGCGTGTGCACACATCCAAACATTAAATAAATTACTAAGAAAAATAATACAGCAGTAATATAGCTGAAAGAGTAACAAAATAAGTATTTTCTTCTTCCTTTCTCCTTTTCTCCCCCTCTTCTTTCTCCTCCTCCTCCTCCTTCCTCCTCCTCTTCTTCCTCCTCCTCTTTCTCCTATCTCCTCCTCCTCCTCTTCCTCCTCCTCCTCCTCCTCCTCTTCTTCCCCCTCCCCCTCTTCCCCCTCCTCCTCTTCCCCCCCCTCCTCTTCCTCCTCCTCCTCCTCCTCCTCCTCCTCCTCCTCTTTATCCTCCTAACTCCTCCTTCCTCTTCCTTCCTTTTTTCCTGGATTTTTGAGACAGGGTGTTTCTATGTGGAGCCCTGGCTGTTCTGGAACTCACTTTATATATCAGGCTATACTCGAGCTCATAGAGAGCCACCTGCCTCTGCCTCCTAAGTGCTGGGACTAAAGGCATGACTTTTTTTTTTCCTTTAAAGTGGGTCAATACATTGCTCATGTGAAAAATATAAGGGCAAAGTATTTTTCATCCTACAGAAACATTTTGTCTTCAAATATTTTCTGAACTAACACCTAAACCAATGGAAGAGCTCATACCTTGAAATTCAGGGCCTCAGGGCTACGTTAGTTGATGAAGAACATAGTTCTGGGAAAGACAACCCTGATGTCTCTTCTCCATGTGTTCGTGGGAGACTCTACAGGCACCCGGGCTGCTCTGCTCAACTCTGTGGTCCTTTCCCAGCCACCCAGTCTGATGCCCCCATCCTTTTGGCCCACAGGCTGAGCTCACATCTGAGCTCTTCCCTTGTGTTGTCTGGAATTTAGAAGTAAGTCAAACTAGGTGTGGTGGTACATGTGTAACCTCAGCACTTGAGAGGCTGAGGCAGGAGGATTGTGAGTTTGAGGCCAACCATGGCTACAATAGTGAGACCTTGTCTAAAGCAACAACAAAGCGAACGTAAGTCTAGTGCTGTGTGTTCAGAAAAGCCACTGCCGCAGCCACGTGTGCCTGTCTTGTTTTACTTAACATGCTTTCAGGCAACATATAGTAGGACTACTCTTTTTCTTTTTAAATTTTTTGGGGGAGGGGGATGGCAAGATGGCTGAGCAGGTAAAGGCACTTGCATGACCACCTGAATTTGGGGGAAGTACCCACATACTGGAAGGAAAGAACCAATTCCCACAAATTGTCCTCTGACCTACACGTATATACTTGCACCCTTCCCCTAAAAAAGTTTTAAATTTAATTTTTTATATTCTTTGGTAATGTCATATATATATATATACACATACATACATTTATGCACACATACACATATATACATACATATACATACATACACATATATGTACATGTTTTGGTCATGTCACACATCCCATTATCCCCTCGCATCCCTCTCCCATTCTTGCTGAAGCTCTTCTTCCCAAGTCCCTTTCCTATTTTCCTGTCTTTTGTTTTGTGACCTCCTGAGTTGCCAGGTCTGGTGGCACATGCCTTTAATCCCAGCACTCAGGAGACAGAGGCAGGCAGATCTCTGTGAATTTAAGGCCAGCCTGGTCTACATAGTGAGTTCTGGGCCAGCTGGGGCTACAAGGAGACCCTGTCTCAAAAAAAAAGACCTCCTGAGTTAGGATTGCTTGTGTGAACATGGGCAACTTGGCAATGGTTACACCACTGAGGAAAAGTACCTCATTTCTTTTTGTCGCTAAAGGATAATGGTCTGGTATAAGGATAAATCACATTTTATTAATTTTCATCATTGACCGATATTTGGATTATTACCAAGTTTTTTGCTATGAACTTTCATGAATAAATTTCTGTAAGAAAATACGTTGTTTCTCTTGGGTCTACACACCTACGAGTGAGATTACTAGGCTATGTGGTAAGTCCACATTTAATATCTTGAAAAACTGCTGAACTTTTCCATGGTGGCTGCGCTGTTTAATACAGATCTGTCTTCTTAGACTCTTTATAATGGACTTAAATTTGTAAGCATGCCAGTATGCTGCGTGAGAAAACAGTGAAGTATTACTTTTATCACTTAGTAACTGAGATGTACAAACTGGAGTCTAGATAGCTTAACATAGTGGATGGCACACATCACCGGAAAGGTATAGATAAGAGTTCTGGGAACAATCACACTGAATAAAGCTGAAGCTTTATTCGTTTTAGAAAAGCAGCAGCCATCTGAATAAATGCTGCTGCTTGACCTTCAAATTAACCTATAGAGTTATGTGACTCTGCCAGCACCGTGGGGAGTTTGTGTTGACATCAGAGTGCCTTTCTCTGTTGTCTTTAATGGGTGACGCACTACAAGGCAGCCTCCCTACTCTTGCAAGTGTTATAGTGTAAGTGGTTTCACAATGTTCTTTGTCTACCCGAAACTTGAGGGTGCTGGGGTAAGGTCCTTTTCGTATCAGTTACTTCTGTGTCCCTGTGGCCAAATACCTGAGAGAAACTATTTCAAAGGAGAATAGATTCATTTTGGCTCAGTTTCCATCCATCCTCCCGAGAAAGGCATGGTGCAGCAGTAAAGAGAGGAGGATGCTGGTCCTCAGCTGCTATTTTCCTTTTAATTTTATTCTGCCCACAGGATGATGCTGCTCAGGTTCAGGTGGGTCTTTCCCCCTCAGTTAATCCTCTGTGAAAAAGCCCTCACAGACACACAGAGATGTGTCTCAACAATCTCCCAGGTGATTCTAACTCTAGTCCAGTAGACAGTGAAGATTATCTTCACTATTTACAAGTCTGCCCTATCATCTGAACACATTACCTTAAACCATAGCATTCCAACCTAGTCCTCCAAAGGGCTTAAGTCTACCTCATAACACAAAATGCCTTTGGTCCATCTCCAGTAGTCTCCACAATCTGAACAGTTACAATATTGTTCAAAAGTTTAAGTTCAGAGTCTACTGAGATTCAAGGCAGTCTCTTAGCTATGATCCTCTGTAAAAGCAAAAAGAAAGTTATATACTTCCAAGACACAATGGCACAAAGTAAATACTCTCAGAGGGAAAGGAGGAAAGCAAAAAGAGATCCAGACCAACACAGGACCAAAAGCCAGCAAGACCAACATTAAATCCTATAGCTCTATATCTAAGCCATGTGTGAGCAAGATGTGAGCTCCAAGAGGCTTGGGCCACTCCACTGCTCTAGACTTGCTGTTTGCAGCCAAATGGCTTCTCTCTCAGGCTAGCTCACTCAGCGCTTGAAGCGTTCCTTGGCAGACGGTCCACATTCCTGGCATCTGCAATATCCTGGAGTGTTCCTTGCAGCCTGGGCTTTATCCCCATACTGTCATGTATTAAGCTCTCAGGAGCTCCTTACTGAGCATCTGACCCTGGTACAAATTGCCTGACCTCCTAGGCCTTCCTTTGGGATCTTGGGTGAAGTTTCCATATCCCTATAACTCAAATTCTGCATACCTGCAAAATTACCATCACCCAGACAGTCCAAGGTCTTCTACCAATTTGATAAATAACTGGGCTACCCGGTACCTTTTTTTTTTTTTCGGATTTAAAAGTAAATATTTAATGAACAGAGAAAAATAATTGCATTGCATATAATCCTTTGCTACATTAAAGAAAATATAACACTTTAATAACACTTTACATTATTACAACATAAATATAGCTGTATCTGGATAAATAAAGGACTTATGTCTAAACAGATAAATACAATATTGCTCAATAGTCCAGAAAACTTCTTGGACAGTTGACTGAGTTGATGGCAGAATGAGATGGCAGAACTCATGCAGTGAGATACGATGTCTTAGTCCATGAAGAGACATTTCCACTTTGGCTCAGGCCTCACTCATTCTTCTCAGTCTTCCCAGTAAGTTGGCTGAGGAAGAGAAGGATCTCATGATTTCTGCTCTGACCACCTCCCAGGCACAAGGGCTGTGTTTCTTCTCTCTCAGGTAGGCAGTGATCCTGTGGAAGTATTTTCTCACAGCCACTAGGGAGTCCTCCTGCCTCAGGGAAGGCTCTAGTACCTCCACCTGCTGCATCTGACAGGCTTGCAGGACATTCAGCAGCTGATAGAGGCCAGTGCAGAATTCCTCTAGGAGGCTTGTCTCCAAAGCTGCAGAGGAGTCCTTAGAACTGAAGAGGTTCAAGATCTGCTGAGTCAGCTCATGGAGGACAGAGAGGGCTTCACCCTTCTGGATCTGCTTGCCATGAAATTCCTCTCGGGGGAATTCAAAGTCATTTCTGTCTTTTAGGCAGGAGAGAGGAGAGAGTCTCCTCATTTTCCCCAGGAGTACCAAGGCCCTCCTGTAGCCCAGGTTATGCATCTGAGGCATGTCACAGCCTAGAGAGCAGGTTGTCCAGTGGCTCATTACCCACAGAGCTATCAGGAAAACACAGGACCTGGCCATTGTGGATCTTGCAGACATTGCTGGTACTCGGAGGTGTGTGATTCCGAATCTTCGCCTCAAGGTTCTGTGAAGACCATCCTTTGTGTATGTGTCTTAAATAAGAAAATACTAGCTTCCATTTTCTGGGTGCCCTCCCCTTACTTTCCATTTCTCTTTTCACTTTTAAAAAATTCACTTTCTGTGTCTAGGTTTTGTTTCACAACCATTTTGGTTTTCATTATTACATCCTCTTTCTCTACTCCCCTCTACAAAATCGTTTGAGATGTTTATTCTTAAATAAAATTGTCATTAGATTTTATAGCATATATATATATATTTATTTCAAAGGTGATTTTTTTTTTTTTTTTTGGTCTTTTTGAGACAGGGTCTCCCTGTAGCCCCAGCTGTCCTGGAACTCACTATGTAGATCAGGCCAGCCTTGAACTCATAGAGATCCGCCTGCCTCTACTGGGATTAAAGGCGTGCACCACCACGCCTGGCTCAAAGGTGATTTTTTTAAACACATTTTTCCAGAAATAATTTGAAGCAGTTTACATGGAAATATATATACAATGAAGTTTGGGGGGTAGGGATAGGAATAAGAAATCAAAGACCAAAGAATTTGCCAACATGGGGGTCAACTTTGGTGGAATAATGAAAGTTTTCATTAGCTCTGTTCTTTTTGTCTTTGGAAAATCCTAACAAGTTTATTGGGCTTGCTGACAGAGCATAGGATGGGGGTTTATTTACAGAAGAGTGGGCACCCCCCCCATTTATGGCTGTGCTGGAAAGTCCACACTCAAATATAGATCCTATGACTTCCCAACAGTAGCACAAAATGGTGACAGAAGTACCTCATGACTTTCAAGGCTTATACATCCTAAGCCCCTCCCCTACATGCAGCGAAGGTCGACTGAGTGGGTGGGAGGAGTAACTGCCTCCCCCATCTACTCCTTGACTAGCATGGGAAGGAGGATGTGCAACTATAGCTTGCTGGCATAGTGGTGAGAGGACATTTAACACTTCACCCCTTCCTCAGGCTCTTACATTCTTTTCACCAACTTCTTCCACAAAAGTCACCCCCTGGAGGGGGTGATAGGTGTGGAATGTTATTCCTTCCATTATGGCAAGGCACTGAACTTTCAGGTCTCTGCAGCATCTGTTTTCCATGGGCTGATGGCCCATTTCAGTGAGATTCCATCTATTATAAGGATTTAGTGCTAAGATCCACAAATGAGGGAGAACATACATCTTTTGTTTTTCTGTGTCTGTGTCTCTTCACTTAGTATAACAGTTTCTAGATCCATCCATTTACCTGAAAATTTCCATTATTTCATCTTTATTTACTGCAGAGTAGAACTCCATTGTGTAAATGTACCACATTTTTGTTAACCACTCCACTTAGGTCGCTTCCATTTCTTAGCTATTGTGAAAAGAGCAGCAATAAACATAATTGTGAAAGTGTCTCTAGAATGAGTCCTTTGGGGATGTGTGCTACCCCTTAATGTTTTAAGTGTCCTTGCTTCTCCCCTCTTTTATCTACAGCTCCCCTAACAAAGTACTGTAGAATGCACGATGAAATAACAGACACTTAAGTTCAGATGGTCCTGGAATCTGGGGAGTCTAAGATGAAGGTGCCAGCATGGCTGGTTTCTAGTGAGGGCTCTCTTCCTGGTTTATGAATGGTTCCCTGCTCACTGTGTCCTTACATGGCTGTGAGGGAGAAAGCAGACTTCTAGCATCTGTTCTCATAAAGAAACTAATATCACGAGGGGACCCACCCCCATGACCTCATCTAAACCTAATAATGGTTCAAATGTCCTCTCTAAATACCTTCATATTGGAGGTTGGGGTTTGACATAGTGTCATGGTTTGATTCTTCATTGCTGTGACAAAACACTCTGACCAGTACCAACTTGGGGAGGAAAGGGTTTATTTGTCTTACATCTCCCAGGTCACACGCAGTTCATCAGGGAGCCCAAGGTAGGAACTCAGGGCAGGAACCTGGAGGCAGGAGCTGGAGCACAGGCCATGGAGGAACGCTGCTTACAGGCTTGCTCCCCTGGCCCCCACTCAGCCTGCTTTCTTATGCAACACAGGCCCACCTGCCCAGGGGTGGCACCACCCACAGTGGGCTGGGCCCTCCCACATCACTCATCAAGAAGATGCCCCTCAGACATGGCCACAGGCCAGTCCAATAGAGGCAATTTCCCAATTGAGGCTCCCTCAACCCAGGTGTGTCAAGTTGACACTAAAGCTATCCAGCACACATAGGAATGGAGGGGCTCAGGTATCTTGCATCTTGCATTCTCTTTCATAGTCTTCAGCATCCCAAGTCTCCAGCACACTGCCTGGGCTATTGTGCATTTCTCTCAAGAAATCCTACCCTGCTCTCAGCATCCTGCTCCTCTGAGGTCCTATCAGAATTGCCCATTAAGTCCTGTTTGCAGCAGACTAGGGCTTCTCTACCCCCAAATTCCAGCCTCTCAAGATTGGGGGCATAATTAAAGGTATCAGGTAAATATAATTGGGTTACATCCTTATCCCTTTTGAAAAACATATTTATGACACATGAAGATATTTTATGTTTTCCTCTATTTTATTTTACTTTGATCCTTATTTTTACTTAAATCTGGGCAAACATCAGGAGTAGAGTTACAAGAGCATTAATTTAAGGTGAGAGGCATGTGATTTAAGATATTTCTTGGTATCAGTTTGAATTTTCTATGCAGATTAAAAGGTATTTTCCTATAGTATATAATGAATATAGAAGGCTGTTACCAAAGCAAGAAAATCTACAAAAGGTTTTGGATGACATAATGCTATATGAAATAGTATATTTGATATACTAATGAATAACATCTAATGTGCAACAAATAATGCAGTAATCTATGAAATAATTATGCCTATCTTTAATATTTATTAATTTAATTCACATACATATTTCTTTTTTAATTTTTACACTTTGAGAATTTCATACATGCATATAAGGTATTTTGGTCAAATCCATGCCCACTCCCTCCCCTCCAACATTCCCCCCTCTAAAGAGGTAACCCTAAAATCTTTTAAGGATTAGATACAAGCGCCAAATATTTTTCACATTTTTGGCCTTGGAACAGAGTATGTTGCTAACAGGCCCAAGGACATTTCAACTTTTAGCCAAGAAACTGGCTACATTTCTTTGGAATCTTTTTATCCTACCTGCCTAGCCGCTTCCTACCTCCTGTTCTTAACACACCATCCTCTGAAGGGGTTACCCAAATTGCCAATAGAGAATAGGGACGCTGACTGCTCTGGCTTCTTCCATGCTGAACAGGGATGCAGGGTGAGGCAATTAGAGTACCCGTTCAGTAGGCTTATCTAAAAGACTCCAAAATTGCATAATTTTGTCTCTAAGGGGAGAAGAAAGTCCTTGAATCATAAATAGGAGATGTGAAGGAGAAGTAAAGGCAGGAGTAATTAGCATTACAAGTTCTAGACAGGGAACTAGAAAAAAGTCAGAACAAGGTTTTTATCTTCTAGTTTAAAACTTTCCTGTTCATCTGGTAATCCTGACTAACTAACTATTCATGATCA